AATATTTCACACACCTTTATATTCTCCTTTTCTTCCCTTACAATGCTTCATCCCCATTGAAATTGATCATTTCGTAGTGCTCTTTGTCGCAGCATAATATAGACACCCTATGAGTGAGTCACTGGATTTTTCACTCAACCGTTTCGTTCTTTGTCAGTGAACAAAACACCTCTGCTGGGTTGCTCTAAAATGTGCAACAATTCACTTTTCTGTTGTTTTTCTATATAAACAAGCACTCACTGAAAGTATTTGACCATTGCACTTAGGTCTGGTGACTTTTGCAACATCTTGCACATGACACGGCATTCTAAAAATGCCACACTCAAGTTAAAATAAATTCTTGAAACCTTATGTAATTTTCCCTATTTCATTGTTCTCCATCAGGCATTCTTAAACGCAAAAACACATTCTGTGTATTCTGCTGTTGATTTGTTTAAAATTGTTTTCATTGGCGGAACAAAAATAGACAAAGAAACAGACAATATTGTGCCTAAAAATTGAATATTAACCTTTTTTAAACCATAAAATTACACACATTCAGCTCTCTTACTCGTGCCATATTCCTTAAATATCACCCATTGCTCTTCAGAAGGACTGCTGTAATAGTTTTTAATGGACTAAATAAGTTGTAAAAGAGTACAGTATACGTTCATAATGCCCCTGTGGGAAGAAGACCTCTCTTTTGAGCTGGACCACCCTAAGTGAGGAAACTCACGTCATGGCAATTTTGGCACTGACTAAATCCGGCTCTATATGTTGACTGCAGGGTTTAACGTATCACTGGACCCTCATCCAATCCTGCGGAAACCACCACCAAAGTAAAAGCATATGCTTTAGGGGAAAGAGTGGGTAAAGAAATGTAAACGGTGTCATCAAGCACCCTTCGGTTTATCATTCATTGTAATACTGTGTGCTTGTCTAATCCACTTATTAAGAAGAAAACAAAAATGTTTGGTCTTTCATCTGAAATGCTGTACACAGCCGAAATTCCACTGTCAAACCAAATCAAAATCATCATATATGCTGTGGGAGAGGAAACTCGGAAATCTTCAAAGTGTACCCGCATGGATTTCTCCCGCGGCTGTATGCTACTCGGCTTTGGATGTTATAATCTTAAATGGTAATCGCCTGGTTGCCTCGGTGGGATTTACATTTTTTTTCACCCTGTAATCTTGCATTTACAATGTAATTTACGTGACTTTGACCTCTCCGCCTTTTGACATCTCTGTCTGGCTCTCGAGGTATAAGACTGACAACAGACAAGCCCCCGACACAACGCTTTGCTTTTCATACCCCGGCGAGTGATGAACTTTAGGCATGCCACTCATGTATGCAAACAGGCTTTGTTTCCTACACACACACACACACACACACACACACACATTCTTGACTGATGTTAAACTGAGAGCGAGCACTCATGTTGCTATCAGAGCTCGGCTAAGTCCCTTGAGCCTCCTGATTTCTTGACATTTGTAGATATAATATTCACGCAACAAGGAGCAGCTTTTGTGATGTGATCCTGCTGTAACACTTTAATCTGTTTAGACTGCTTCAATATTATGGCAGAGTGGAGAGAGGCCCATTCAGTACAATCCATAGCTTGGGGCAAACACCTCAGTAGGATCTGAGGATTTTTTTTAATGCAATGGCTTTGCCTTGTGTTAAAGTGAGAATGTTGGCTTCTATTGTTATATACAAGTGAGCGAAATACTATTAATAGTGAGCAAACAAAGATTTTTTTTTTTCACAGCTTTTTGTGTGTGTATATATATATTATATATATATGTGATTTTATTAACACATTTTTTTTTTGAAGAATCTTCATAATGCCTTTTTTATAGCGACTATAAAATGTTACAAATTTGAAAAGATAAATATTTTTAATCTATTTTTAATAGATTTTTAATAATTCCCTCCATTTCAGCTCTAAAAGTCAATATGAAATGGAAATTCATTCATCTATTTTTTTTAAATGAATGTTATGGATCTTATTGTGAATGATTCCTCCATGAATATTCTTCATTTTTATTGTATTTTTTAACCTTGCAGTTTTTAATCAAAATGTCATAATTTGATCTGGTGAAATGACAAGATTGGAAAGATCTATAGCTACTTCCATTATATTGACATTATATATACATTTTATTATCAATACACGTTTTCAAACTGGCATGGTTTAGTTACGACGAAAAATATAAAAGCATATATATTTGGACAAAACTAGAGCAAGTATATGATGATAGAATTTCAAAATTTTTCCCCTACAAATTTTGCACAAATCAATTAAATTTTTGTACAGTATTCCTACAGATAGTTCTTTAACCTCTGTTTGTAAGATAGGAACCTAGACTAATGACTCATGTCATAGTTTTTTATGGAAATTAGTATATGGCTCAAAGTGAATGGTGTATTTCCCCATGAGTAGCTGGTAATGAAGATAAACCACATGTGGAATTTGTTGATTGTCCCATACCATGCTGTCATCTATCCCCCAATTACACCAATCATCACTCTCTAAATCCTCTTTGGAGTAAATTAGCTGCAGTATTATTTGGTGCTGGCCTGCTTTTCCTTTCTGTGCTTTTTCCTTTCCCTCTCTCTCACTCCGTTTTAAAGCCTTTGAATCATCTCCAGCCCGAGTGCGCTCGAAACGAGCTGCACTTAGTAACCTGATGCTGGTCCCTGCCCTTAATGGTTTGCATTAGCTGCAAGCAATAAAATTAGCCCAGGTCCCTGCTAATGTTGGAATAATCATTTACAAAGATGGTTACCACATGCTGTAGCCGTTTCCCTCTCATTCCCCTTGCTCCCCTTTTTTCTCGGCCTCTCATCTTTTCCTCTTATACGTTCTCTAATTCGCTGTTATTAATAATGAATAAAAACGCAATTTTCTGCAGCTTGCTCCAGGGCCCTGGGAATTATTTCAATGAATATTTCAGCACGTTATTTTAATCACAGCTGCACATATGCAGAGGGAGGGGGTCTCTGTTTTATTGGCCTGGGGTGTGGCTATGGTGAGACCCCAGCATCATTAAAACCCCTCTCCGGCTGCATAGAGGGTCCTACCTCTGATTTACAAGACTTGTTAAAAAACACAGTAAAAAGGAGGCAAGCTGCACCGTTTATACTTGTAATTTGATACCGTATTTGTTAATGGGACTTGCTGTTATTTATTTGTGTGCTGGAGAGCCACGGCTGCTGTTTTGTGCCCGAGGGGTTCTTGTGCAAAAGCGTGTCTGGGTTTCTGGAGCTTTAATGAACTTCATGAATTAGCTATATTTTGCACAACGCACGTACACCTTGCTTATTACACACACAGCTGCCTTGCCTCAGTGCAGGTTTGTGAAAGAAGTCTACTAAGTGACTTTAATCTGTAAAAGTGAACATTTTGTGAAGCGCAGCAGCACACAAACATTTTTAAAAATGAAAAATTACATTCCGCCATGTAAATAGCGAACCCGCCATGACGCGAGCGCAACTGGCTTTTAAAGGGGATGGGAGATGAGACTCTGATTGGTTTATTGCACGTTACGTCCAAAAAACACCCATTACTCATTAAGAGAATAGCACATTCACACGGGGCGTCAGCGTTAACGCTTGACGGAGGGCGTTTCTGAAGCTTGGAGCTGACGCGACCGTCATAGTGACAACAGCCTGAGACCGTCATAGTGACAACAGCGAATCACATTAGTCTTCTGGTGTTGCATGAACGCGATTGGCTAGCGTCTGCGCTAGGGTATTTGTATAAGGCGATCTGATTGGCTGACGCCTGCGTTGGCGCTTGAAAAGTTGCCGCGAGCAACAGACCCAACGCGACGCGACGCGACGGACCCACAATTCATTTCGCCAACGCTTGACGTCACTCCATTCAAAGTAAACGAGAGGCATTGACACTGACGTGAATGGGGCGTAGGGACAACCCGTTTAGACCATGCGCCCGGGCGCGCCGACAGTTTTCCCGTCGTTAAACTAGCAAAAAAGACAATCGCTACTTCTGTTTCATGCCGACTTTAAACTAGCAAAAGTGGATTCGGACACGCCCTGAGTGCACCTGCACCGTGCGCTTTAGACCATGCGCTTAGATCGTTAAAATAGGGCCCTAAGTCTTCATTTTGACAAAAATGTAAATGATGACAAAGTCAACTAAGCAAGTAATAATGATGACAAAGTCAGAATTTTATTATGTAATGAGTTTTATTTAATAATTAGGACTGCCGTTGACATTTTGTCTTATAATATTGACTATAATATTGTGCCAACTTTCTCATTATTGTATCTTAGTATTTAACAATTTCACATTATTTCATAATTTCACCTTTTCATGTCAAAATTTCACCTTTTCATGTTATAATTTTTACTTTTATCTCATAATTAATGCGTAGTCATCAATTTGACTTTTTATCTCATAATCATGACTTAATGTCTCATAATTTTGTCTTTTTGTCATAATTTTTCATAATTATCCAACTTTTTTGTCTCATAATTTAGACTTTTTATCTCATAATTAATGTGTAGTAAGTCATAATTAAAACTTTTTATCTTATAATTATGACTAATTCAACTGTTTGGGTCATAATTTTGACTTTTTATGACATAAATTAAGACCTAGTATGTCATAGGTCTGACTTTATATCTCATAATTATGACTTAGTATCTCATAATCTTGGCTTTTTGTCATAATTATGACTTATGTCATAATTCCAACTTTGATGTCAATTTTTTTCATATGATTTACCAAAGCATTATTTTTTTCTAATGTGATGAAAATGGGTTTCCGTATGTGTCTGTGTTTCTGTTGTAGTTCTTCACATTTGTGAATGTATTTTTAACAAAATGAGTAATAATATATAAATGTGCCAAAGTATGATGTGCCCTGTAGTAAGCAGGGCTTGTTTCATCATATAAAATTATATTCTGTGCTTTCATTTTTTAATTTTAGCTTTCCAACATTTTTTTTTTCTGATTCCTAACAGGAGTTCCTGTCTTTTCCCCTTTTCCAGTCAGCTGCATGACTTCTGGCGTCTGGATTACTGGGAGGATGACCTCCGGAGGAGGCGGAGATTCATCCGAAACCCTTTTGGCTCCACCCACTTGGACATCACGTGCAAATCGATGGAGGACTACGGTCAGTAATTCTGCCAACAGCCAATCAAAATTGTTGCTGGACTCTGTCAGTCTAGCTCATTATCCCAAATTGCGTTCATTTCATACAATGACATCATTGTTCACCAAATGGGACACACATATGCGAATTAGAAAGCCTCCAATCAACTCTTGGACGCAACTAATATTCTCGGAGCTGAGAAACAGTTCGTTGTCAGCTTTATAGGTTGTATATTTATGAGCCTTGTCAATTGAACATGGCAAGAGGGCTTTATGGTAGGCTTTTATATTCTAATGGCACACATTGTTGAGAGGAAAATTTTGTGTTTTTTTTTACTGTTTCTGCCTTTTGCACTCAAACATTTTTCCTCATTGACCCGTTTGAACTTGCAGCGTTGCCCACCGCACGGCTGTCGATTTGGCTCTGTGTCTCGCAACAGAGGCTTTAAAAGAGAAACGGTTCAATACTATTAACCACTGCGGGCGCTTCTCCTCCAGGCATCAAACTGAAGATACGAGAGGGAGTGTATTAACCGAACAAGGGCAAGTCTATTGATTCTCAAGTACAATAGGACGACTTCTCTCTTGTGCACAGAATAGTTACTGTAGCTATTTCCATTACTCATGGGTAAACTTACAAGGGGGCAAGCGAAATAGGCCCATCTATTTAAAAAACTGAACCAACCACAATTGAACCCTTGATATTAGCTTATACTTATGGATAGAGGCATATGAGAGTGTTATTTGACAGCATGTTTTGTTATGATGCTGCTAATGGCCACCTGGGATGATAATGAATTGCACTTTTAATGTACTGAAATAAATTTTGGACTACTTATGTCATTTTCTTTGACTTGTTATGCGTTAATATTGTGTCTATCTAGATGTCTGGCCTTTTGTGCTCAACTGTTTTGAGGCCATGTCAGATGGTCTGTGTGTCAGAGCCAGAACACACGCATGCACACTCGTACATACACATGCCAGCTGTTCCTTGACCTGCAGGTGGCCCCTGCTCATGTCACAACAGACTTTTTCCCCCCAATAATTCATTTTGCCACCATATCAAATCCACACTGTCTTTCAAACGTATTACCCAGTATATCTCCCGCATTTCTTCAGAAGCTCACACCACTGCAGTATTCCTCTGGCCCGGCTTCTTTTTCTGCCTGTCCTTGGTAAGTTGTCAGTGCATCTCTGTGGACCCGCGGTCTAGTGTCTGGGGCCACTGTGATTGAGGACTTGTTGAGGTCCCCAGGCTTCTACCAGTCCTTAATGAGTGGAATAATGCATAAGATAGTCATGTGGAAGGGATTGCCTGTAGTCAGATGTTGCCCCCACAATGCCATAGAGAGAGCCTGAGAGAGAGGGACAGCAAAGAATGACTTCTCTGTATGGGTTTTATAGAAACAGAGGGACTGTTTTCATAAACCAGCAGAACAGTGCTAAGCTTTTAAGCTAAATATAAGCTTATAAATGCAATGGACTTAAATAAATACATTAAAAATAAACGAAACGGAAAAAAAAAATTTATGCAGTGTATATTTTTACTAAAAATAAAATATTTAAAATTTAAAAATAAAAATAAAAATGTAAAAATAATAATAATTTTCTTTTTTTATTTGATTTTATTCATTTAGTTCATTGTATTTAAAAGCACTCTTATTTATTCACTATAATGAAAACTATATGTAACACATTGCATAGGATATATAAATCATCATTTTAAGAAACTGCAAAAGTCAGTAGCTCTGTGCTTTGCTGAACTGGCAGTAGTGGAGGTTTACAGCTGCTTTTGTGACTGGCGGCCGTGGTACGTTGAGTTAACGTAGGTGATTTGAATGAATTAACTGTTGAGGGTGCATATAAGTTTCCATTCTTTTTGCCAGAAACCAAAGAGATTGAAAAATGACTGCTCTCAAATGTCAGAACACTGGCAGTTGACAGCAGTCACTGCATATAGGGCTTGTTTTTATTCACAATGACATATTTTCATAGAGCTTGTCTGCATTAGAACATATGCAGCGCTTTAGCAATATTTCACATTTCTTTTTGTGCAAACTGACATGGGTGGACATGAAGTATGCCTCAGGTTCATTCGAAAAATGTTCTAACTACCCTAGAAACAACATCATTATATTTGATTCATGGTAATTTAATGTATTTTCTGTGGCTGTAATATGATCTTCAATCACTGAAAATAGAGGAACAGCCTGAATTTAATGGGACCTCAAACGGCTGACTACATGTTGTATAAGCATTTGATAAACCATACTGCTCTGTGCCTCATTCCCAGGCACCTTTGCATATGTCTGTGGGAAATTTTGCTTTAAAATAGCTCAGTTTAGTCTATTAGCCATGCTGACAAAATAGTGAGCGTGCTTCGTGCCGGTCTCAGGCTTTGATACTGTACCTTCCCCCTTATTCACGAGTGGCCGAGTATATTGTTAGCTGATTGGAATTGGGCAAGCATGAAATGGAAGTCAGGTTAATATTGATCCTGCTCTTTAACAGCCTGTTCTACCTCCGGGTGTCCTTGAAGTCTCATTTTCAGGTGAGCAGCTCTGCCCTGACCTAATGAACCTCTCTGGACAGAGATCTTTATAGCTTGTTATAAGAGAAAGAGTGAAAGGGCGGACTTAAGAGAGGTGTGATGATTCAGTACAAATTTAATAGAAGCAAATCGACAAATGATGTTGATTACCACAAAAATGTATGTTGACTGTTTGCTTAAAGGTCCCCTGAAATGCTTAGAAACATGCAGCGTTACTCTATGTGTTGATGTCATTTTAACTGAAACAGGAAGACAGGGCAGGACATATCAAGCAGCCCCGCCCCTTTTTAAAATAGCCAATAGCGTTCGTTTATATCACAGCTTGGGCTAGAGCCGTTGAGCTCCGTAAAGCCGTATTTGACAGGATATGCCAGCCACAATCTCATCCATATTGCTATAAAATATAGCATTCTGTGTAGAATTCAAATCGCTCCGATACATTTTTTCCGATACACTGTTTGAATCGTTCCCTGTCCCCTATATAGTGCACTACGTGCCATTCACTGTACAGAAAATACTAATTCTGTGGACAAGTGATCGATTTCAGCCGCGGTTTCAGCGTCGATTTTATAGTGTAGGGGCGGGCGCTTCGGATTCTAGAGAGCACTTGATTGGACAGAAAGTTTGATGAGAAGCTGAAGTACGATGTAACGTCAAAAAAAATCGTTGAGCCATTTTGGCGGAAGTGACAAACTGCAAGATTTGAATGCTTATATCTTCTAAATGCAAATTTTGTCACTGTTTTGGAGCACACTGCCTTATAGATAACCTTAAGACTAACATATTGATACTAACACCCAAAAAACTTTAATTTTGATTTCATGGGGACTTTAAGAAAAGCAGAAATCTGGGTTACGATGAGAAACTTACAATGGAAGTAACTGGGGCCAATCCGTAAACGTTAAAATACTAACTGTTTACATTGTATAACCACAAGACGTAAACAGTATGCATGTTAACATGATTTTAGTGTGGAAATAAATTGCTTGCTAACCTTTTCAGTTTTTAAACTTTGTTGTCATGACAATGCCTAAAACCCTAAAATAACTGTAAAAATAATTGTTTAAACAATTAAAAAATATATTTGACCTTTTAACAAAATAAATGTAAGTGCTTTTTAAAAAAATTCCCCATTCTTTTCCATTGTAAGTGCCTCACCATAACATGCATTTTCATGGTCCTCAAAGGTCCTTTAAAGATCTTAAATTCAAATGTAAGGTCATATAAAGTCTTAAATGTCCTAAATGGCGTAACAAAAGTAATAATTTCTATTTTAAAATAGATGTGGATTTTTGATAAAAGGAATTTTATCACAGGAATTGTGATAAAACCTAATGTTATCATTAAACTTCAAAAGTAGATGATTTCATTAAATAAATGTAAGTGCTGTAAATTCAAAATGCGGTGCTGCTGACGCTAACTCCAATATCGATCTATTTTAGTTATATAATTCATATATATTAGCATAGTGATACATTTTTTCAGGTTTGTTCTTTAATTTTCTTTATGCAGGTTTTAATGAAAAGTCTTTAATAAATCTTAAATTTGGTTTTAAAATCTCAGCCGGTACCCTGATTTTTATTTTTATTATTTTTTTTTTTTAAGAAAACAAGAGACGAATCAAAATTATTTTGTGTGATAATTAACTTTATACCACTTCTGATTCATTTTAAATTGTATTGAACCTGGAATATTCCTTTAATTAGCATGTGAGAGCCTAATCAAATTAGCCCAAATATTTAAACACGCAGGCATTCTAATTCTAAATCTGTGGAGCTGTCTGCGAAATTCTGTGCATATGGATTCAATGTGGGGCTTGTAATCAGCCATATTGGTTCTGTATGTGTGATACCAAATGCTTCTCACATGAGTAAAACCATAACAAAAACTTTGCATGGGTCTCCGGTTTCACTTTACGAAGTTGGGTTTCTTTTTCCAGAGCTGACTGCAGAATTCCTGGCATTTGATCGACGAGCGCAGCAAGCCCACTTTGCCACATTGTTTGTGTGCGAATGCACTTATGGCACATGTGCAACATTTTGTTTGAGTTATTATAGATCAGTCAACTGCAGAGACATACATCTACACGTCTCACAATCCCTTAGTACATTTTGTATTTTTACAAAAGGCATCTCATCTGTCAATCCCAGAATGGAAAGATACATCAGATGCAATTACTGCTTAAATGGAATATTATTTCATTCTTTATATTTTTTTTTTTTCCTAATTTTTTGGGCTCTTTCATTTAAGGCTACAAGTGTGCATGACTCAAGTGGGGCAATAAAAGTGCAAGGCAAATACTCTAGAGCTCCAACCATAAATAAAACATGGACTTTGAGCAACAATAACCAACCAAATGGAGGCCTATTTGAAGCCTTTTAGCTCATCTGAAAAAAAACTTGAACAGTAAAACTACCGAGCACTTAAATATTTCCACCTTGGGAGCTGCTTTCACAAACTGTAAAATTTCCTTTGCCACAAGCTATGCACAGTTTTTTTTTATTTTTTCGTTTGATGTGACTTTTGAAAGAAAAAGGCCAAGTAAAGAGATCGGTGTGTTGAAGAAGTCACATAGTGATGGAATGACAGAATTGAATTGCAAACTAGAATCTTTTTTTCTTTCCTTTTCCGAAGCCTTCAAAACCCCAAGCTACTCAGCTCTCCTTGCATTTATCAAGTAACAGTTTTGCGCCACTGAAGGTGCTATTTTGAGCCCACTTCAAATATTTGGTTTTCATCATATTGTGCTAGTCATTGGATATAAGTTTAGAGCTACATCTACTGCAGCACATTTTGATTTGTTTGTTATTCTATACATATGTCAGTCAGTCAATGACAGTTCCCCGTCTTCCAGCTGTATGGATCAGATCCAAGCTTTTAGCAAAGAACATCATTGAAGTCCCACCACGACTGGCAGACCAGCCATCACCTGGTCTTTCTCAACCCTGCTGCGTCATGCCAAATTTGTGCCCTGGGTAACATAAACCCTCTGATGGCAGAGCGGGTAAGCCATGCTGGGCTTGAATAGCCTCACTATTGACCGTGATGGCTCACAGGAGTCCAGTGAGCGAGCTTCGGGGGTGCCGATAAACGAGGTGGTTGACAATACAAGCGAGGGGTTCTTTCGAGTCACTGGGGAGGTCTGAGTTGTAGCGATCTCGAGTTCCCATCAAGCCTCATTCCTAAGACTGACAAATGATCGTCTATGTTACTAGATATCTTATATATGTGGCCATGTAGGCTTTCTATCAAAGGCTTGCCATTTAAGACAAAAAACAGGAAGCTTCTGTACCGGTGTCATTGCTCAAAATAGGAACATGCATCACTGTGTTCCAGAACCTAGTGAGCTTTTGTAGGCAAGATTCATAGCGCCCCCGATGTGAAGGATGTTCCAAAAGGTAGGAACATAATTATAGCCAAGTTCCTAACTTAACTTTATGTGGCAGCACTGCATGTATTTTTTGCACAGAAGATGATGCCAGAATCCATTACAGTGTGTTTGGTAGAAAAAAGGTGGTGGATGACACAGGAGAAACGTAAACATACAGTAATTCATTCAATAAAAAAATCAGACTTTTTTGCCCAGTATCACAAGGAAAGATTTAAAGGAATACTGAAAATTTGCTGAAAATTTACTCCCAGGCCCAGTTTGTTTCTTCATTGGAACAGATTTGGAAAAATGAAGCATTACATCACCTGCTCACCATTGTATCCTCTGCCGTGAATGGGTGCCGTCAGAATGAGAGTTCAAACAGCTGATAAAAACATAACAATAATCCACAACATGACTCTAGTACATCAATTAACATTGTGTGAAGGGAAAAGCTGCATGTTTGTATTAAATAAATAAAATACGAGTCCTCTATCCATAATACTGCTTTCTCCAATAAAAAAAGTAATCTCATCTGAATCAGGAGAGAAATATGCACAGATCAAGCACTGTTTACAAGCAAAAACAGACCAAAACAGTTTTAAACAAATGTGTCTGTGGATTTTGATGTGAGAGGACAATAGGGGATTGGCTATGGAAGATGTTGTTATTTAATAGTCTGTGATATTTTTATCAGCTGTTTGGACTTTCATTCTGACGGCACCCATTCACTGCAGAGGATCCATTAGTGAGCAAGTGATGTAATGCTACATTTCTCCAAATTTGTTCTAATGAAGAAACAAATGGATATCATTGAAAAATTACATTTTGATCTATGTTTTGCATGTATGACAAATAACCTGGTGGTTGTGCTATTGGCACGGATAGATGACCATAATGGTAAAGAGCACACGTTGATTAATGTTAATCTTTGATATGATGCGTTATCCAGTGGTTTAGTTAATATTCAACCTTTTTTTCCCCCACTAGAGTGTTCATTTTTAGTGATATAAAATTGATTCATTGTGAACATGGAATGATATATGAGCATCAATGATGTTTGTAGCTGTTACTAGGGGCTGCCAGAACTAGGAACATCTACAAATTAGCAACAAATACAACTGACTCTGTGCAGTGACCAGGTCCGCTGGGACTTTATATATGTACTTTTTGTTTTCCTTCTTGTTGCCTTCTTGTTTAAAACATAAAGCTAAATAGTTTTTTTAATTCACTTTTCCCCCTCAAGCTTTCTCTATTTGCTCAGGATCATTTTCTTGTCAAAATCCGCCTGGTTTATTTTGTATGCATAATAAACTAGGAACTAGGAACATCTACAAATTAGCAACAAATACAACTGACTCTGTGCAGTGACCAGGTCCGCTGGGACTTTATATATGTACTTTTTGTTTTCCTTCTTGTTGCCTTCTTGTTTAAAACATAAAGCTAAATAGTTTTTTTAATTCACTTTTCCCCCTCAAGCTTTCTCTATTTGCTCAGGATCATTTTCTTGTCAAAATCCGCCTGGTTTATTTTGTATGCATAATAAACTAGGAACTAGGAACATCTACAAATTAGCAACAAATACAACTGACTCTGTGCAGTGACCAGGTCCGCTGGGACTTTATATATGTACTTTTTGTTTTCCTTCTTGTTGCCTTCTTGTTTAAAACATAAAGCTAAATAGTTTTTTTAATTCACTTTTCCCCCTCAAGCTTTCTCCATTTGCTCAGGATCATTTTCTTGTCAAAATCCGCCTGGTTTATTTTGTATGCATTGCACTGAGGTCCTAAGCTTTATCTTGCCAGTCAAGACTGGAGCTCAGCTCCATCAGCTCTCCCTGCTTTAATGCGGGCATAATGACGGTTTACAGAATTACGGTCTTAAGTTTCCCTCAGTCTGCTTTGATCCATGACCGCTCGCTGGCTCTGTGCCTCTAAATGTTACACGCTCCCTATTTCCGAAAAGCGGTCCCACTTCTTCCTTGGCTCTGATGAAAGCTCCTGAGATATGAGACAGAGCAGGAAGCCCGCTATGTTATTTTATTTTATTTTTTTCTCTCTCTCTCTCCTTCTCTTTTTCCTTCTTCATCTGTGTAGTGGTGTTGACAGCATTCGAACGTGACCGCTTTGAGACAAAGTACATGAACCCCACGGGAGTGTAGGGAACATTTTAAACACTGCACTGAAAAGAAACATGTCAAAAGAGTGTCAGACACGTTCTATTTCTGATAAGCGTTTCTTATTTCCTTTTTTTTCCAAAGAATCTCTCTGTTCAGGTGTCTCAGGCAAATCTGACCTTACACAAGACGAATCCAGTGTGCAGTGACGTGTGTCAGGCCTGACTGCATTTTTCTCTCTTTTCTTTAGTAATTAAAGCTGATGAATGAATCTTTTTTGTTCGATACAAAAGTGGCTCCACACTTTTTTGCATCATTTTTCTTTTTCCCTCTGATAAGGCTGTGTGATGAGCTTTGGTGGTATCTGCAGTCGCTTAATTGCGCTGTCGGTTAAATCTTGTTTTAGTCCAGATTTAGAGAGTAGATTTCATTATGCCTAATGAACTTGGAAATGTAGACGGGTCTACACATGCTTTATCATGAGTTTCTTTAAGGGAGAATTAAAGTGTCTTAAAATGTGTCTAATATACAAATGAGTAAAGCGTAATAGTTTGCCTGTGGTTCCAGTCAGGATATTGAAATAACAAGTGCTACACAATTTGACATCATTGCTGATATTCACGCCAGACAGAGTTTGTTCCTATAGCAAGACATCCCAGAAATAAAGTGTTAATGCCTGTTCACACAAAGCAGGGGTCTCCAAACTCTGTCCTGGAGGGCCGGTGTCCTGCAGAGTTTTGCTCAAACCCTAATCAAACACCTGAACCAGCAAATCAAGGTCTTACTAGGTATACTAGAAACTTCCAGGCAGGTGTGTTGAGAAACTCTGCATGACACCGGCCTTCCAAGACCGAGTTTGGTGACCAATGACACAAAGGATGTTAACTGTACAACGATAATGATAAAGTTCTAAAATAGCTCTAAAAATCAGTCTAAATTTAAAATAATATCAGATTCCACACCACAACTGTAACTAATAATGGCACAGAGAAACAATATCATTGGAATCCCTTTCAGAACCTTTTTTTTGTCAGCTGATGAATGATAAAAACATCAGCCAATCAGAATCCATCCTACGTTAAAGAGTGCAAGCATTAAAAGTGGCAGACGCCAAAACTGCAGCACATGCTTATAAGAAACAGAACGTTATTGTCTGGTGGTATGGACACTAATATAGTTATTTTTATAGTTATCTTTATCGTTATCGTTTTTGTGAATGGGTCTTTAAAATAAAATAAGTTCCTACATTGCTTGGCAACCACAATCTTTATCTATCATGCCTTATTGATTTTCTGTGGACTCGTAAAAAAAAAAAAAAAAAAAAAAAAAAATGACCCCAAAAACTGTCTCATTGATGAACCCTGTAGTTTGACTACC